CTCCTTTTTCAGACTTCCTGTTGAAAGATTTTCCTGATTTAATGCATCGACTGCATAAATGATTCATGTGCCTATGCAATGCTTAATACAAAATGATGTTGAGATTTAATGTATGAGAACAGCATAATTTATTGCACATTTATCTTTAATGGAGCTATTTATTTTTTGCTTCCTATTGACAGAATGCACAGTATACTGGGGCCATTCCACAGGGTGCTAGTCCTCCTAAGCCTCCAAGGGCTCATGAACTAAAATTGCTCATGAAAAACATCAAGGCAACACTCACCAATCATAACACTGCAGGTATAATAATTTATATTTTGCTATCCCTGTACCCTCCTGAATTGTATAATATATATTCTGTCTTAATTGCAACGATAAATTAAAGTAGATGTTATTTTATTGATTGGTTTTAATGTCTGTTCTCTATCTTGTTCCAAGTATCAAGAAATTTTATAAAGAAATCTTTTTTTTAATTCTATTTTTAATTCTTTTTTTAATTCTAGTTTGCCCTTTACAACATTGTGTGGCCCAGTTTCCATTGAGAAGTGGTGGATAACGCACATTTAGAGGTCCCTATATTGAGCATGGCTACTTTACTAGATTTATTATAAATTAGAATGTACAAAATGTTTGGAATATAAAGCACCCTATTTCAAGTGCAAAATGCCTCTGGCTCAAACATGGAATCATTGTTTTGAGTCTAAAATGGACCATTTCAAAAATTTCATTCAAAACAGGATAATTTATGTTTGAATCAGTTGCCTATGAATTCCTATTATAAAAAAAATAACATCATTGCAATTCAAGTGAAGAGAACTTTTTAACTAGTTCTTAATATTTATAGGTGGGAGAACAGGAAAGTGTTCAAGGACATTACATACTCTTGCAGGATTAAAAACATTTCACATTCTTTCTCTTTTTTATTATAATTGGGATGTGGTAACTAATATGATATACAAATCTGCAGTAATATCTTTGCTATCCTCTCCTAATCATTACATATTGAGGCTCATTAATTCATATGAACACTTCTAGATGTCTCTGTGTATAATGGACTTTTATGATTTGAATAAGATTATAGACATATAGACATACTCAGTACAGTATACTGAGTATACTGTAAATCGGTGGGACAATTCTGCTAGCCATGTGCTATCTTGAACATAGATTTGGAAAGTCAAAAATTCAGAGTGGTCATGATATCATCATCGTCAGCCATTCAGTCATGTCCAACTGTTGGCCACTCTATGGATCAGCACCCTCCATGCCTCTCTGTCTCGCATTACTCCTTCAGATCCACCATGGTCATCCCAGCATCATATTTTATAGTGTTCGACAGGGAGTACTGGGATGGCCCCTTCTCACAGCATGATTGACTTTTTGAGTGAGTCAGCTCTTATGACATGACCCAAGTATGACAGCCTCTGTTTGGCGATCTTGGCTTCAAGTAATATTTTTGGTGAGGGTCAGTCAAGGACTTCTTTGTTATTTTTGCAGTCTGTGGGATGCGTAATAGCTCACCTCCAGTTCAGAGGTGTCAACCCATTTATCTGCCTTTTTCAGAGTCCAGGTTTCACAGCCATAAGTAAGAATTGGAAAAATTATTGTATTAACTAAATCTGCATTTGGTCGTGAGGCTGATGTCTTTACTCTTCCAATGTTACTTAAGCGAGTCATTGCAGTTCTTTCAAGTGCTATACACCATAACATTAAGTGGTCATAACATCAATTACTAAGTCATGCAATATATGTTTAAAGAGGTGAGTACATAACTTGTCCATCAGGTTTTGTAAGCTTTTACGAGCCTGTGCTTGCATACTTCCTTCAGGGAATTCAGGGAAGGTGAGCATTAAGGAAAACAAGTGCTTTACCCACATTGGTTATAGATTCTTTACTGTATTTCCCTCCTGCTTTTTAAACTTTGGCCCCGTCCTGATTGAATTAGTCTTTGAACTAGTTTTTGGTTGGTTTAAAATATGGTTTGGCTACTTTTTCTTAATGAAGCTATATATGACTAATGATGACTTTTAAAAGATTGAGTTGTATTTTTCTAATTTCATATTTTTTGTCATTAAAGTTTTATTAATCAAAGTACTCCCCGGACCATGAAAGAACAAATCAGTCTTTTGCACATAAGAGACATCTCAAGCTTGTGATATCTTTACCAGATTACTTCTATTTGGTCATCACAGGGATAGTAAACATTACAATATTTATGTGTTGATAAAGGTTTAGATTCTTCGTTTAAAATTTCCCAAATACAGTAAGAGTTCTTATATGGGTTAGAGCCTACATTCCAGTAGCCCACTAATTTGAAATGCAAAAACCATTTTTAATGTAGTTGCACACCAAGTAAGAAACTCTTGTTTTATTTAAGTTGTTTTCTATTTCCCTCATTATAGGTATCATTAACCCCATTTGTATAGTTCAACTCAATGACCCTTTGCAGAAATTTTGTAGCTCTTTTGCCAATTATCCCATGGACCTTTCTTGGAAAGAGGAATTTATTTTGTAAGTACTCCTTATAATACTTTTATAAACGTGCTAGAAAACAATTCCCTATTTTTTATCCTCCTAGTGAGAAAAATCTCTTTTGCTTACTGAGGCTGAAAGCCTACACAGAGTAGTATATAGCTTAGCATTATAATGAAGAATAAGGAGCATGATCCCATTTTTATTGTAGATTGTCTGGAGTATCAATTACATTCAGATCACACACTGGCAAATATTATAGCATAAGGATGGGATGGGATTTTAGGTTTTGTTTTTCTTTTGTCATACTATTTGAACCTTTGCACATTTCCTGGGTGAGTACATCTATGTTATAAAACCCCTCAATGAAGCAATTTTCTAGCAATGTATTTAAAAATAATGATGGATTCCAGCACCGATTGGACTTAACAACAGTTAGAGGACAAGAAACCTGTTAAGTTCAAACATTACACTAACCCAAGTGGCAACAGCTTAATTCAAACAAGACAAAGCCAAAAGTAAATAAAGAACATTTTGAATCAGCATGAAATATGGATCACACAGAGAGTCTATTATGTTCAAGTTGAACTTCTGCTTCATGTTGCTGTTTGCTTCCTCTAACAACATGGCCACACTTCCACTTTTCTATTCTACTTTGACCAGCCTGTTCTGCTGGAGGTATTGAAATGGTTTTGCTTTATTCCTTCTTTCACTGCTGTACCAGAAGACAAAACTGCCTAATAGGAAAGGGAACTTTTCTTTTTATATGGTTTGCCTATGATGTTCCCTTGGTAGTTATTTATTAGAGACAGCATAAAAGTGAGCAGGATCATTCTTTTTTCTCTCTCTCCCTCTGTCACTTTGTTAGTAATTTCCTGGGTAAGTGACAGTTATTCTTACTAAAAGATACCAAAATTAATTTGCTGCTGGTGGCTGGAATCTATACTGGATTTTAGGACAGGGCTAGAATAATAGCTGTAAGCATAATGAATTATGGCTGAATTTTAGATGGAATGAATATGCTTTTTGTTTCTATGTACTCCTGTTCGACTGAAATCTTTTTTAGTAGTTCATATCACTGCAAACCTACTCAGAAGTAAATTCTACTGAGTTCAGTGATTCTTATTCCTGGATGAGTTGGAATATGATTACAGATTTCAACCCCAGAAATAAAAACAGTTGAATACAAAGCTACACTTTCTTTGTAGTTAGCTTAATACAAATATTAGAAATTAAACATTGGTAAACTTACTGAATTAGTGAAAATGCTAACGTTAAATTCCAGTAATTCAGTAAGTTTATGATGATTAATTGTTGATAAAGTTGATTCTGTTTGCTCAAACAAAATAAAATATGTTCTTGCCAGCATTTGGGAATTTTTTTCCCTTCCAAATAGTTGGTTCTGCTTTTAACAACTACTTGGCAAGCAAACAACTACTTGGAAATTCTATTATGCAGTTAAGAAACTATGTTTTAAAATATGGAACTATATATATATCTGGATGCTTTGCTAACTATAAGTTTTGTTTGTCCACAGTGAATTAAATGCCAAATCAAAAGTGCTGCAAATCAACATTACAGAAAATGGGGAGTTGGATGGTAAGTACTGTTGGAGACTCATTCTCTCCAAAAAGGGGCTTTAACTTATCTTCTCTGTTTGTAAAACTGAGGAATGCCCAATGAGAAGAAGAGTGTAGCAGGAGAAACTGCTGAACACCACAGAAGCCCAGGTGTTATTTCTCCATCCACTCTTTCCTCAATGAATTCTAAGCAAACAATGAAACTCAAGATCTTGTTTAACCATCTAATGACTAACACATTTAGCTTCAGAGAAAAGAGGATCATCCAACCACTATGTAGCACACGGTCACAACTACTTAGCAGATTTATGTGGCTGAAAATCATAATGAGGTAACTCTGGGCAGTTTACAAAAAAATATAATTACATTGCCATGCAAAAGCCAACACCCAATTAAAAATAAATGAATCTCCTCTTGTGTGTGATTAACAGCATAAAAGCAAAACACGTATGCTATCTTCTACTATCATTGTAGCTCCAATGTCTGGGGAAATGGCCTTCAAGGCTTTCCAGGAGGTCAATAAAGTCAGGGCCATCTGAATTTGGGGAAAAGGCCATGGGACAAGCAGGACAGAAGCATCCTTGGTTCGACTAAAGAACACTGTTTCACAAAGCAGATCTGCCAGCTGAGGAGGGATGGCCAGAAACCACTGGGGTCAATTGACTTTATGCAATGCAGGACTTTAAAAATGACAAACAGAATCTTGAATTATACCCAGAAGTTTCCATAAAACAGGGGCAGAGACATATAACTGAGTATTATCAACACATTGTTGATTCTTATCCCTCTGCCAACAGATTACTTTACCATCTGTTTCATATCAGTGGTAAATTGGAAATTAGCCCTCAAGCACTTGCAAAATGGGATTAGGGCTGGTTTTCTTTACTCTACCAGAACCAGAACCAATTTGAAAAGAGGAGGACCATTGTAAAACTCTGCCTTGCACTCCTAGCTCCATAGGTCAGGTGAGAAGAATACCATGTTTAATGAAACCAAAGGCTGCTGAGGAATCAAGGAGGCCTAGTACAGATACACTGCCCCATCCTAAACCTATAGAGATTATCTATTAAGTGGCTCTGTAATTTGGCTTAAGTTAAAACCCAAATGAAAATAGCCCTAGAAATCTGTTTCTTTCATGCCCCCTTTGAAGCTGCAAGCCTATCACCATCTCAATATCTTCTAAAAAGGAAAGATTGGATATTGGGCCAAAGTTGCCCAGGACTTTTGAATGGCATCTTGAGGAGAGGATGAACCACCACTTTCTTTAAAACAGTGGAATGTGTCTCCAAGGTCGCCTTAACCAATCAGGAGGGACATCGGTCCAAACATAAATGGCGGAACTCAGAGCCCCAATGTCTTCTTCCTCAGTGATTTCCTTACGAAGTTACAAATGGTACACTGGAAATAGTAACTTCTTTTCTGGTTTATATGAAAGATAATAGTTTTTAATACAATATGTCCCAAAATATTTAAAACTTGTTCTCAACCTAATTTTCAGTAATGAAAATTTTAATAAATTACTTCTGTTTTATGCAGGTGATTCTTCCATTTCTGCTAGTGTTCCTTTGGATTTATTCAGGAAACAGCCTTCTGGACTGCAAAGTTTTGAACTGAACAGCCAAATCAGCAATAATAGCTCTGCAGTAGGATCTGTGTCTGCAGAGGTAGAAAGTTTAACACTAATTGAATTTTCTTTTCTTGAATGTATCCTGACCCTATTCATTTGACTTGTTATGACATATAATGGTAAAATGTAGACAAAACAGTAAATCACCCCATTTCAAGCCCATCAGAGGGTTTGTACGTGATTTTTTAAAAAATGGGTGTAACTGTGTTGACTCTTACAGGTTTTTAGAATGATTTGATTTACAGTTTTTCTTTCCCCCACAAAAGCCAGGTATATGTTCAACTATCCTTATTTTAAGATGCTAAGCAGACTTCTCTTTCTTTAGTTTTTGTACATAGAACCATCAGAAACCAAATCACAGCAAGTTCCTGCCAAACTTCCTGTTGCAAAAGTAGAAAAGGACCGAACTGTGATGCCTTGTGGGACTGTGGTCACTACTGTAACTGCTGTGAAAGCCAAGACTTTGGTGGAAGGGAGATCATCTGTTCTGCATTCAGGTGAGAACACAGGAGGAAGTCTACTTTGCTCCAAGAACCTGACTTTTAAAGACAAATTTCTCTGCTAACATGTAAGATGAAAGACAGGATACAACTTTGATTGACTCAGTGTTTCCCAAACTTATTTGGCAGTGGAACATTCTGGGACTGAAGATATTGACAGATAATATGCAAGCTAGTTCTTAAAAAGGAGGAGGGTGGTTTGACTGAAAAAAAAGTGATTCGATTCTTTTAAAAGAATATGTAATTTTAAAATTGTTTAACCTTTGAATCAACTAAAAATAGTAGTAATGAACCTCAAATACATCTTAACTTGTAACAACTACTTCACTTCTGTATATAAAAGAGGTGATTGATTATTTCTTTCTTTGCACAAAAGATTTTTAATGGGATTGGTGTTTTGGTTTCTGTATTTCTTTCACACAGTGTAAAAATTCTGTTTCACATAAATGCAGTGAACAAAAAGGAAGAAACATGTTTCTTTGTTTTGTTTGTTGCACATTATTTCAAAAGTAATTCAGTGAAATTTCATTAAATTTTTGTTTTATTTAAAAGTCAAAAATTAAGTTAGCTTTCACATTCACATTTCACAGTCAGGTTAGTAAGCTGACTGGCTTAATTAGCAGGCAGATTTTAAGCCCCAGAACTTTGAGGAAAATGTTCTAGGAGAGCAGACTATAACCACACAGGTGCTATAAATGGCACTGTAAATATTTTCACCTACTGAGGTAATTGGACTGTATGATTAACACGATTAAAGGCATGCACAACAAAATGATGTTAGGATGTCTAGGGACTTGCCAACCCCAAACATAATTGTTTATTTTATATGCTGGTGTATTGCAATTTTATATGCTGGTGTATATGTATTACAATTTTGTCCCACCTTCCTTCCTTCCTTCCTTCCTTCCTTCCTTCCTTCCTTCCTTCCTTCCTTCCTTCCTTCCTTCCTTCCTATCCATCTATCTTCCTATCCATCTTTCTATCCATCCATCTTTCTTCCTTTCTATCCATCTTTCTATCTATCCACCCACACACCCATCATTCATCCAGCACTTTTGTTCTATGGGAACAGAGCTAATAGGTGTGAATAGGTGTGTGTGTGTGTGTGTGTGTATACATTGAAAATAAGCCCTAGCCTGATTTTTAAGTGTGCAGCTAATATAAGCCCTACCTGAAAAATAAGCCCTAGGGGAAGGGAGTGGGCACAGAAGGCAGCAAGCACATGCAGGCCAATGGTGTCTGGCAGTAGCTGCAGCCCATGCAGTGCAGGTGAATTGATTACCTGTCCAAGCAGCAAACAGAGGCAGAGGTGTGGGGGGGAGGTGATCCAGA